AACAGGAGAGAAATTGGAGGTGGCAGGATTACAACTTTCTGAGGGTGAGAGGACACAAGGTGCTTCATGAGAAAGAAGTGGAGCAAGTGGGTATGAAGACGTAAAAGATACATACAACACAATACCTAATACTGATGACACACATTATAAAAGCAGCCTGTTGGTCTAGATCCTGGTTGATCTAGTTCCTGAAGGCAACTGCTTGTGTAGACCAACCATCTTGTGCTGTGTCCACATGGTCCATATCTCTGCTGTTATGCATACGGACTGCGTGTCCTTCCTGTCTTGGCCATTAAGAGTAGGGAGATACACAACACTAAGGATTTCTTGCCATTACACATAATATCCAAAAGTGGTGATACCAGTCAGCGTGGGTGGATTTGCACAGGCAATCACCTCAAAACTGCTAGTTACAGGAAACTTCATCCACAGTTTTGGATTGTTGCTAACTGTTGATTCCTCACAAGAATGTGAGGAATTTGAGAAAAGATCTAAATGATGAATTTAGTGCCACTATGTTGACACCAACGCTCTTTGGTAGATTCCAGTAGTGTGGAAGGAGTACTGTGGGTAGCTTTAGAGATATTTTCTGAGGAAGGGTTAAGAAAGCTGTCTGAAGGTGCGTGTCACATTTTAACGTAGTCTAAAGTCTTCCGGAAAAGAAACACTGTATGATAGTAGATCTTGAGAGAGACTGTTATTCATAAGGGGCAATGGGCAGGGAAAATGCTTCTTAATAGCTTTTAGTTATGTAAGTTAACCAGATTTAACTTGTATTTCCTAATATTTCTATGGGTTTGGAGAAGAAATTTGGCCAAACTGGCAATTCTGACAAATTAAAAGAAATCTCTGTAGTCTGGACATAATGTCTGGTTTGTAAAACAGGACATATTTATTTCACATTTTTTTACTTTGCTCATGAAGAAGAATCGGTTTCACCTGGGAACAAACATATGAGGTTGTCTGAAGAATTTCTAAACTATAGTTCATCTCAGAATATTTATTTCAGCTATCTTTTTACTGCATGAAAACTTTGATTACTTTTAAAAGTAACATTTTCTGGATAAATTTTTATCATCTTTGGTTATTTTGAAGCAATCAAAAATAAATTTGCTGGGATAATACAAATATACAGTGCACTTTTAAGCACTTTATTCTAAATTGAATTGCTGTACTTAGAAAAACTGCATATAAAATTATCTAAAATTAGAAAAAATTGTAAACTAATACCTTAGATTAATTTTTTTTTTTTTTTTTTAATAGAAGTCAGGTAAAATTCTCTAGCTGAGAGCAATACTTCACAGTGGCAGTGTTGAATAGGCAACAACTCTACCTCCATTCAAGTTAGCAGCAATGTTATGAATCATGTTGTGGTAATAGAGAAACCTTCCTTTGACAATTCCAAAGACAGATCTAACAAGGTGCTTTTTGATGATAAATCTTTGCACATTCCCCCAATGGCTAATGATGAACATAGCTCACAGTTTCTTGTCTAGGTCTTTTTAGTCTGTAGGAAACCATGTCTGAAGTCCTCCTAGAACTTTATCAGGCTTTTGGATTCGACTTCTTTTTGAGTTTTGATTTTGGTTTAATCAATGGAAGAATCAGAGTTATGATATTATTTTCCATAAAAGTAAATGATTTTGCAGACTGTCCAACATTTCTTTATTCTTTGCACTAGCTTAAGTTCACCTTTCAGACTTTAATATCCCTTAATACCCTTTACCCAGCAATATCTTAATATTATTTATACTGGTTTGTATTCCAAATAATGTTTTGCATGCAAAATTGTTACTATTTTTTGTTTTTTTCAGATGCAAGAAAAATATTTGAAGGTATTTTTTTTTTCTCCCTGAGTTTACTTCAATAAACACATTTTGATTGCAAAAGAATCAGAGAAGAATCTATTTTATAGTATTTTTTTATAAATAAAATCTTTTATCAGCTACTGATTTTATTTTTCATGCTTCTTAATATATTTTTATATTACCTAGAAGGTAACTAATCAGTTTAAACTCTATACACCTAAATTACTTTACATGTTTTGAATACTTCTTAATATTTTATTGACTTTTAGTTTTATGAAATTAACCAGATAACTCTCTGCCCCTTTAGAAAAACTCTTCTCCAATCTAAGTAACAATACTATTTTGCCTTTAAAACATTTCATTCAGTTCTTTGCTTAAAATTATTCCTATTTCATATTTGGGCTCTTTGGTTCATACAAAATTACTGGAACAAAGCCTCCTCTCCTGGTAACAGAAATATATATTCAGTGTCTTTCACTAAGAAAGGGGAACTGACATCTATTGTCCAAAGACAAGACCTCTAAAATGAGGAGAGGTTTTAAAAAGAAATTAAGTTGAATTTGTATTCCCATTCAACTGGCATAACTTCCTCTTCATTCAAGCAAGACATAGGATGTAGTAAAGAATGCAATAAATGTTCAAGGTTTAATTCAAACCCTTTAAGTAAATTTCCTGTTATACTGCAAGAAGATATAGCTTCAAAGCTGATCCAAACATCTGGGAGTTCTTCAGTGAGTGATACCAAAAAGAGTTTGCCTTCTTGCACAGCAGCTGATGCAAAGTATCTGGAAACAGAGACCTGTAAGATGTACGGTCCAACAGTGGGTATGTTTGTGCCCAGCTGATTAAAAGTGAAAAGATTTTACTTTGCTGCCTCTGCTGCTGGAATGTTTTAGCCTCTCTCTTATTTCTTGTAGCGTATGATGTGTCTGATGCTGTTGCAGCTGCTCTCAATATAAGGTCATATCCAAAACGGGGTCAAAAAACAGAGGAAAGGCAAATGTGACACAAACACCATCTTGATTATGGCTCTTAAGTGAAAAGTAAGCCTTCTCTGAGACCAAGTGAAGAGATGAAAAAGAAGGGCCCAAAACATGCAAAGTGTGATGGAAAAATTGCATCAGCACAGGCAAAGGGTGAGAACAGAAAAAGGAAGAGCTTTCCTTTACCTTGAGGGTATGAAGCACAGATTCAGTTCTAGAAACCTTGTGGCTTTTACAATGCAACTCAGCTACCAGTTGAAGGAGGTTATTCTGGGGAGAAAATCGGTCTTTGAGGAAAACAGCAAACCTGAGCCAGCCATGAGTCTTTCTCTGCCGTAATTGCTCTGAGGAATGACCGCAGCTCATGCTGTCTTGTTTGGGGTTTTTTTGGTGGTGGTGGTTAGTTGGTTGGTTGAGGGG